ACATGTTTACTTCTTCATTTCCTATTTGGATGCCTTTTATTTCTTTTTCTTGCCTAATTGATCTAGCTAGGACTTCTAGTACTATGTTGAATAGAAATGGGGAAGATAGGCACCCTTGTTTTGTTTTTGATCTTAGAGGTTTATCACCGCTGAGTATGATGTTAGCTGTGGACTTGTCATATATGCCCTTTATTGTGTTGAGGTACATTCCTCCCATACCTAATTTTTTGAGAGTTTTTATCATGAAAGGATGTTGAATTTTGTCAAATTCTTTTTCTGCATTTATTAACATGATCATATGGTTTTGTCCTTCATTTTGTTAATATGTTAACATACAAAATCACAGTTATTGATTTTTGTATGTTGAACCAACCTTGCATCCCAGGGATAAATCCCATTTGACATGGTGAATGATCTTTTTAATATGCTGTTGAATTTGGTTTGCTAGTATTCTGTTAAGGATTTTTGAATCTATGTTCATCAGGGATATTGGCTTGTGATTTTCTTTTCTTGTAGTGTCCTTGTCTGGCTTTGGTATTGGGGTAATGATGATCTCATAAAATGAATTTGCAAACACTGTATTCTGTTCAGTGGTGATGGTTATTAGGGTCCTCCTGATCTTTTTCTTCCTCCAGGGAAATTTCGGGGAGGATCCCCCTTGGCATTGGGTCTGGTTTGTAGTTCTGTCTGTGAAGGTGGTGACATAGACATCTGATGAGTGACACCTGTGGGGTTGCTATACAGTTGAGGCATAAACCACAGACACATGTGGAAGGACTACAGCTCTGGTGTCCAGGACTGTACTGGCACCAGTCTCTGGGGCACAGGCATGCCTGCCTCCATGTTGATAACAGTATGCAAAGTGCAGGTGTGTGTGAAGCAGCCAGAGAAACAGGGATGGGAGCAGGAGCATGTGCAGAGCTAATGTGCCTCTTAGTAGGGGTGGAGTATAGCTCTATGATGGCTGAGCTAGTGCCTGTACATGGGCACACACAAAGAGACATTTTCTCTGGAATGTGGGATGCACTCTATTTCACTATGGTGATGACTGGGTTTCTGAGTCATTGACATGTACCCTGCATCTTTGGAGGTGTGGTTGGGAGCATGAGTGTGTACATAGTTACAGCACCTTTTGGGTGTGGTGCATGGTTGAGCTCTGTGTGGTTGCCAACTTGGTGACTAGAGCATGGGCATACACAGAAAGACCTTGGCTCTGTGGCCCCAGGTACAAACTAGCCCACTATGATGATAACACCAGTGTCTGAGGCATGGGTAGGCACAGTGCAGCCACTGAGTGGGAATCTGGAATGTGGGCACTTGAGGGATGGCTCTGGTTCTGGGACATGCAGGGAGCTGGAGGGGTGTCAGTGCTGGTTTTGAAGTGACACAATAACAGCTGCTTCTTGGGGTGAAGGGAAGAGCTGCATCTCCCTCTC